ACCATTAATAAAAATGATATTACATCAATGAAGTAATTATCTAATTAATACATGTAAAGCAGCAAACAAACTTCAACAAAAGATGTGTTGGGAACTTTGGAAATCACAAATGCAAGGAGACCAACAAGGAAGTGATTGTGCTTGTATTCCCCTACATACATACATCAAGAAAGGCAGTGAATTATGTTAGTAATAATTAATAAGCCTTGAATATGGAAGTAAAGTCTGTTTGCTGTTTGGGAACTTAAAAGGAAGAAAACATCACACCTAATTAAGTACAACGTATTAATGCTCCATGCCTGAATTCGTGTAACTAATTGCAGATAAACATAATCAAATACAAGATAAACATTTACTTTTAAATATAAAAAATATAAAATATAATTAAGATAATGATTGAGTTTTAACATAATACTTGATTATTATCTTTATAAAAAAATTATATTGTTAAATCTAAAATAAACTACTTTGTTATTAAATTATAATAAAAATTATACAAAAAAAAAAACTTTTTAAACTGCTATTTAATATTAATATAGATGTAAATTTCTAAGTGGCTCTCAAATTTATATTTTTGTTCAAATATAAAAATATTATGGTTTTGTGAAACATATATATGTAATTGAAGGTGTACGGAAATGAAATAGAAAGTATCATACCTTATAGCTTAGGTAGTTGGGCGAAAAGCTCTAAACAAAGGATGCTGATGTCTGAGGAATAAAAATAGATGATAAGAAGTAATTAATAAGGTGTTGCATGGGTTATCATTAAGATATTTACATCCACTTAGTTATTTTAATTAAGAACTAGTTATTCCACTACCTACTACCTATTTTATATTATATATCATGACAAACATTATTTAATAAATATACCACATACCTACACATCTATAATCAGCCCATGTAAATGTTCGAGTAATAAAACGGTATCGGTGTAGGTGATATTCTCCGGGAGTAGTAGTTTGAAAAGAAGAGAGATCCCCACCAATTATATGATTCCATGACTTGTAATAACCCAACACTTCTTCTTCTTCATCTTCATCTTCATCTTCATCATACACAAAACCCACCCCACACTCCCTTATACCAAAATCAGCATCATCATCATAATCCATTAACATGGAAATAGTAATTTGGTCACCATCTTCCATTTCATTCTTCCCAAACATCCAATGGCTTAAATATGTTAAACCCTCTCTACTTCCTTTATACCACCCTGGAACATCATAGATCCAGGTGCACATCTTTGTTATATTACTAATCCTTATATATGATATATAAGCAAAGAACTCTCCATCATTTGTTATGAACTTTCCAGTTGTCAACACGTAGAAGAAGTTCAAGCCTCTAAGGTTGCAAGGAGATGATGGGATGGTAAATGATATTGATGACCCCTCCTCCCTTCTATCACTTATCCAATTTGGCATCTCTTTCCCCACATACCATGTGCTGAATATCCCAAATTCATAACCCATCTGCCAAATAAAAGCTTCATTTATATTATCTACATATTAATCACACAAACAAAAATAGTCAATGAGAACAAACCTTGACTCTTCTTTTTACACCTCCATGATCTGTCGGCTGAATTTTGGTGAAGTCTAAATTAACTAAATGACTCCACCCCAAACTACGTAGTACCTTTTCCTCAACATCTCTCATATCTTCCTCTTTATGAATGCCCTCAATATTTTCCCCATCATTTGCATTCACCACATTAGAAAATAACATAACTGGGGACATTTCTCAATTAAATGTAACTCTCCCATCTCTAGGAAAATCAAACATCAATTCTTTTAGTGTAGGTGGAGGATGCTCCAATGAGTGCATACCAAAATTGTTACGAATACCAAGTATCTCAATCCCGGAAAGGCTTTTCACCCAATTGGGCAGTGAAACTAAAAGATTGTCATCTAAATGCAACTCCGTCAACATGGATAGGCTACTCATGTCCATCGGAAAGGATTCGTTGGACAAATTATTATTTGCTAGTGACAAACATACTAATGAACTCGGTAGATAAATCAAATAGGACTCGAAAGCTCTTGGTATAGCCTCCACAATGGCAGAGGAAGAGGTTTGTGAGTTCATACCAATGTGGTTACGGTTGAGCGTTTCCTCCACGTCATCCCTCATCTCGATCATAGTTTCACCAAGATTACAACCATCTAATTTTAGTATTTTGACGTTCTTCACCTTGTTTATCGTTCCTAAAAGCTTCCAAGCGTTATTGCAGTAACTCAGATCAATGAGGTCAAGTCCATCACAATGCTCAATTGACTCACAAACCTCAATCAAACTTGAGCAATTTGAAAGTATTAACCTCTCAAGTACAGGGAATTCAAAAAATCCACCAATATTCCTAAGCTGTTCACAGAAACTCAGATTAAGAATCTTCAATGATCTAAGCAACCGTTTGCTTTTTGAGCATGAGCCACTTAACTGTACAAATGGAGATAAGGTGGATGTTAAGTGAATTGCATAAAACCACCATAGAAGTAACAAAAATTAAAGTAGATGCTACAAGTTTCTTACCTTTTGCCTCGTCCCAGGTTGTTGTGGGTTACCATCAGACATGTCAAAAGATTCCAAATTGCTGTAAGGCATGTCAAGCACAACCATATTCTCCATTGGTAAGTCTAAAGGTAAAGACTTTAAAGGGAACCCATGCATACACAACCATCTTAATTTTTTAGAAAAATTCTTATAAGATCCATTGAATTTCACATAATTGAGTTGTAGTAGCATTAGATTATCCATCTTACTCAATGCATCTGTTTCCAACTCAAACGATTCACATATGTCCTCTTTAAGCATTCCTATGTCAAGAACGAGGCCTTTAAGTTTTCCCGAACCCTAAGAAGAAAGTGAATGTTAGAAAAACTAAAAAAGGCTTATGTAAGTGTATATAGATAATACAAATTACTTGGAATTTGCACAATTCACTACAACAAAATTGGGTTATAGCTCGCCAGCAACTTCTAAGCGTCCCAATAGACTTGATTTTATAAGACTTTTATAGGAACAAAAACAAAAGTGTTCTATCTAAAGGCTAACTAATAAATTTATAGAAAACTTTTGGGCATCTTAACGAGTTTTTTAGGACATTTTAAATACAAAGCGTCACATTGTCTATTTTATAGGATACTTTTGTGAAAGTGTCCTATAAACCCATATTTTTATAGGACATTTGTTTTTATAAGGTACTTTTTCAAATAATATTCTGTAAAACTTCTAATATGATGTTCTTTTATGAGTATATGAAGGTTACTTGATCCAACAAGCAGTGCAGTGTATTTTTGCTTTAATAATGGAACCCCAAGTCTCTGTCAACAAATAAAGAAATTGTTTGGAAATTTACTTATTAAAATGAAAATGTCGAATAGATTTATGGCAACAGACCGTCTTTTAATTAAAAACATTGGTTTTTATTAAATATAAACATTTAATTAACTTTGGTGACATTCTGTCTTTGTAAATAAAGGAAAATCAAAAATAATATATATATATATACTAGAAGGGTACTTGCTAAATGTAACAAGATACATTTTAATTTTAATGTTTCGTTTTATATTTTGAGTCTATTAATGTTATAATGTGATTTTATTTGGTTTTATTCAAAAATAAAATGTTTTTATTTTTGAATTAAATATAAATTTAAAGATATTATAAAATTTTGATAAAAATAAGCGATATTAGTATCAAATTAACTATTTAAAAGTTCTCTTTTTTGTATAATTTCTTTAATTCAATTTTTTATTATAATTTAATTATGGCCTCCATGTAAATAATAGTGTCGACATGGATTATTTAGAATTCAAGCCCTTGTAAATAATGATGTTGACTGTTAACATGGACAACTTACAAAAAAAACAATAATAAAATCATGTATTAAATATAGGCATAAAAATGAGATCCGCTCCATAAAATAAGGAGTTAAGTGTTGAGGTTGAAGGAAAGAGACCAACAAGAAAGTCATGGTGCTTGCATACATAAAGAAAGTCAAATCGCCAGCAAAGTTTACTAAAATTCAGTCTATTTTCTCTTCTAAAACTTGGATATTGCATATATGTCATAGTTTAGGAATGAAATTGTCAGCAATTTTGTTGTAGAAAATATTTCAAACATGTTTTCATGTTATCTCAATCACTTTTGTCTAATATATAAATTAAAAGCAGAAAAGAATATTGAATATTTTATTAAACGAGGTCGCTTTATCATTATTTTAATATATTAAGAAAAGCAAATAAAAAAACCAAACATGAAATAATAAAATATGAATATATTTAAGAAAATGAATTATTTTTTGAATATATAAAACCAAACATYCTGTKTTGCCGKAACTCATTATATTCTTTGGTCATTGTGATTTATGATTTCAATGTTGTCATCGTCGTCCTTAYAAAAACCTTTAGGAATTTCTATARAACAAGATTTACATCAATAAACTACTTATCCAATACATCTCATTTTAAGCTATAAATAAACTTCAAACTTACGATATTAAGATTTGCAGCAAAATTCTCTTGGAGACTTTTGACACAACAAATGAAATGGGGGTATCTTGAGCTTGAAAGAGGAGAACAARGAGGAAATGACCGTGCTTACGTATCCCCTGCAGACATCAAGACAGTCAAATTATGAACGAGGTTTAGTAGCATAAATGTACTCTGTTTTGTAAGCATTTAAACCTTGAATATGGAACCAGCAGACCTCTCTTTGCAATTTTTTAAACGTGGATATTGCATCCGCCTGTAAAAACTACACATAAAGGATTGCATAATCCTGCAAAAAATATGTGCCTACAGAAAATMAAACATAAGACATTTCATACCAGACATGTAGAATCATATCACACTTACTTTACAAGATCCTGAGACCAAAAAGTTCGATAAAAAGATGATACTAAGTGGGTGGTGTGACGAAGGAGAATAGAAGTCAAGGTGAGAAGCATAGGAAAGGATCTAGACCCTTGATCAATTTTAATGTCACCCCAACCCCATGAATTCTGCTTCTTGCAGGAATTGATTTAGTGCATCTCTTTGATCTTCAATTACGATTGATCCAAGGGTGGAGATTCCTTATTCCCCTTCTCACCATAACTTTCATTCTCACCGGGGACCCAACCCTGGGTGGTGTATGGTTTTTATTTTATGTATGTTGATGAGAGAATATAATTGAAGCGGTTCTGGAAATAGAAAAAAAGTACCTTAATTAGGTTAGATGCATCACCCCACCAACTATGTTGACTTGCTTTGAGAGAAAGCTCTAAACAGAGGACGCTTTTCTGATGGAAAAAAGGAAGACAAAAAGAAGTAATTAATGCATGAGTTATTATTAATTTACAACCACTTCCACCAAGTAATAGCTTAGCTGTTGTTGCAGGAAGAAACTGTTGTTTTAACAACTTAATGATGTTGCCTCTGCTTGTGGAAAATCTCCAAGTGTTGGGATTGTGTTGACATCCACTATGAGAAACATGATAACAGATATTTAACATATATTTATGTGCCACATACCTACATAATCGTTGATGTAGTTTGGACCAAAAAAGTGCCACCTGTTTAGGTCATATACTCCGGGGGTAGTAGTTTGAAAAGGAGAGAGATCCCCACCAATAATATGATTCCATGACTTGTAATAACYCAACACGTCTTCTTCTTCTTCCATTTTCTTCTTCCCATCATCATACACAAGACTAATCCCACACTCCAAAACATCCAATGCCTTACCTATATATTCATCAGCTTGCATTACTGTCACCGTGGCAGTAACTTCATCACCATCTTCCATCTCACTCTTCCCAAACATCCAATGGCTTAAATATACAATTATACCCTCTCTAGTGGACTCAAAGGACCCAAAACAACTGTATATCCATGTGCGGTTCTTTGTTATGTTACTAATTCTGATTTTACCGACTACATGAAGAAACCCCTTTATAGCCGTAAACACAATGCAGAAATTCAATCCTTTAAGGTTGTTAGGAGATGATGGGATGGTAAATGATATTGATGACCCCTCCCTTCTATCACTTATCCAATCTGGCATCTCTTTCCCCTCATACCTTGTGCTAAATATCCCAAATTCATATTGCATCTGCCAAGTACAAGATTAATMATCATCAATTGTTCTATGTACACATTAATCACACAAAGAAGAATAGTTGATGTGAGCAAACCTCGACTTTAGATTCTGTCAGCTGATTTTTGGTGAAGTCTAAATTAGTCCACCCCAGACTACGTAATACCTCTTCCTCGACATCTGCCATATTTTCCACTTTAAACATGCCTTCAATAAAAGACCTGCAACCTGTCCACGTACTTAACATGATTGGGGACATTTCTCGATCAAATACAACTTTGCTCAAATGGCTGAAACCCATTATCAAGTGTCTTAGTGTAAGTGGAGGATGCTCCAATATGGTCAATCTCTTACAATGGTCAATACTAAGTTTCTCAAGTCTGGGAAGGCCTCTCACACAATTAGGCAGTGAAACAATATTATTTCCATCTAAATATAGCTCCTTCAGCATGGATAGGTTACTGAAGTCCATTGGAA